TTTCACTACGTTCAATTACCCACCATAGACTCCGGTCAGTCAAATTGACTATTTTGAACTGTAGGCAGAGTCAGACGCCGATAGGTGGCGGGTTTTCCGAGCAAACAGAAAAATGATGAGAGTCTTTTCCCAGTCCGGGATGAAACACTCTACAATAATCACTCAAACGCAGGGACCCTTGTAGTCGTTCGAGCTGGGTCAGCAAACCAAGTCTGACCAGCTAGGATGGGACCCAACCTAAAGAGACCCTCCTCAATGGATTCGGTGTCTCTTTGGTGGTAGTTGATAAAAACGGTCTGCGTTCTCCAGAAGCCTGCCCTCTGTGTGTGCTCGAGAGGGGGGGGGGGGGGGGGCTGACGCTAGCACTAGTGAGTTAGCAATCGCACAGACCTCATGTGCTCGTACTTGATGTCTCTGCAAGCTCTGTGTCGAGGAAGTTAAAGTATTAGTTAAAGTATAGACCTCTAATACAGTCGCAGTAAACCACCTGGTTATGGAAGTTGTGGAGGCTGGCCTATCCTGCCTGCCTGGGCCATAGTACAAAGACATGTGCCTGGCACCCCGTTCTGAATCCTTAGTACGGTTTGGTAGCAACTCCGTGCTCCAACCAGCCAGAGAAGCAATTCCTCCTGACCGGCCAACAAAATTTGACAGTTGGGGGATGCCGATCGGGTGAGGATCGTGTCCTGGGGTTTTGGTTCTTGGCGAGAAACCCGATTCGTGTCTTTAGCACAACTTTATTGTCCATAATGTCGGTACATCATTCAAGAAGGACAATGCCCCCAGCTCTGGCCGATGCCTACCTGAGGCGAGGGCCAGTAGGAAGACTATTTTCCACGTCAACAAATTTGAGTGGTGCTGATTAGAGAGGCTCTAAAAGGGCGGTCTGCTTAGACAGACAACACAACCGACCCAGTTGGGCGGTTCCCTTGTATGGGGTCTCGGCGTCTGGAAAGCAGTAAATAGTTTCCTAATAATAGGAAAATCGGCTAGTTTTGTTCCCGCACATTCTCAATGGTGGGGGGGGGGGGGGCAAGGCCGACCTGTAGCCAACGATCGCTGCGTGGGACAAACCCACTTCGTCAAACAAGTGGACGAAGGAGCCTGCTACCTGGCCAATAGAGGGATGGTATGGATCAATCTCCCTTCCGCTACACCAATCAGTGTATGCTCGCAATCTAGAAATGTAGACAGCATCCCTGTTCGTCCTGGCCAGAACGTTGGCAGCCCGCTCAGATAAAGCTTACGTATGTGCAGGTCTACTGAGAGCCTCTATGCATGTAAGTGATACCTGCTGGGCTCGTTGGCAGTGCGCCGTCCGGTTAGGACAGCAGGTCCAGTAAGTCCGGAAGCACTACTGGTGTTTCGACTAGCATTTCTCACAGAAGTGGAAACTAGGCCTTGCTTGGCCAATTGGGTGTGACCGATGACAATATGCAGGTGTGCACCTGTCGAAGTTTTCTCCAGTGCATGGTAAACTAGGGGGAAGGCATACACAACTAAGTGGGTCCTTGGGCTTAGCCAATGATGACCACCAGGGCAGGGCTTCCTTCACTTGGTCCGAGATCAAACCTGCCTATCTAATTCTAGGAGAGTTAGGTGTTGTAACAACAAACGTTATACCGGGCGGCTGCGTAGTGCGTCCTGGGGAACCACCCTTTGAACCGAGGTCATCATTCCGATGATCTGCATTAGTTTTCGGAGGGACACTGACTAGGCATTCAGCTAGGCTGCCCAGCGCTAAGCAATACGCTTGAAATAGCTATACAAACCTTACCTCTGTGTCAAACTCCATGCCCAGGAACACCAACTGCGCATTGGGTCGAGATGGGACTTGCCGATTTACTGAAGCCCAACTGGTGAAGTAAATCCTGTGTTAGTCTAACGTGTTTGGCTATTAACCCCTTGTCCGGGTTGTGAAGTAACCAGTCATCTAGGTATGGCTTGAGGTGTACCGACATTTGGTGAAGCAGCAGCACTACCTGTTTCATCACTCTGGTGAACACGTAGGGCACTGTGCATAACCCGAACGGGGGGCACCCAAATTTTGAATACTTGGCCCAGCTGGGCGATTCGAAGGAGATGGCAACTCGCTGGGTGCATCGGGATGTGCAGATAGACCCCGCATAGTCTAGTGGGGCTAGCCAGTCGAAACGATGGATGGAGAGAAGAACCCTGAATGGTGTCTCCATGTGGAACCGATCGAGGAGCACGTACTGATTCAGTCTGCCTAGGTCCAGAACTGGACGCCCGCCACCTGTAGATTTGGTACTACAAACACATTTGGGTAGAAGCCTTGACTTAATGCCGGCTGATCTACCCTGTGCTTAGCGCCCTTTTCCAGCAAACTGCTACTTCCTGCCTGATTGCTTCCGCATTGTGGGAGTCCCCTGGCAGTGCCCAATAGGGAGACACTGA